GGGATTCGATTTTGCTTAAAGTCTCGCCGTGGAAGGGACTTATAAGATTTGGTAAAAGGGGAAAGTTGAGTCCAAGGTTTATTGGACCGTTTAAAGTTCTTCAGAGGATTGGGAACCAAGCTTACAAGCTCGAATTACCTGAAGAACTGAATGGAATTCACAACACATTTCATGTGTGTTATTTGAGAAAGTTCACGGGAGAAGTTCCCGATATAATTCCAATTTCTGAATTGAGAATCGATGAGAACAAAAGGTTGATTGAAGAACCAGAGGCAATTGTTGACCGAAAGACTAAGAAGTTGCGACACAAGATGGTCGAGTTAGTGCTTGTCCGATGGAAACACACGAATGGGCCGAATCTCACCTGGGAGACGGAGAGTGACATGTTGAGTCGCTATCCGCATTTGTTTGTTGATGTGTGATTCCGGGGATGGAATCATTCTAAGGTGGAGAGAATTGTAACGCCTGTGTTTCTGGGCTTTCCACTTTTGGCAATATAATGGTCTAGGTTAACCTTTGTAACCCGTTTTGAAATAATAAGATTGTATTATTTGAGTATTATGTGATTTGTGCTTAATTGCTTAATTATGTGGTTTGATTAATTAAGAATAAAAATAAGCGTCAAAATTTAAGTGTAAAATAAACTTGATATGTTTAGATAATGTCGTAGTAGTTGAAACAAGGTTTCCGGAGATATAAAGAATGCCGAAATCCGAGTTATAACGAGGAAGTTATGACCTGTCGAAGTTTCGCGACAAAACCGGCAACGCCGATTAACGTAAAAAGTGAGATTTACGTTAGAGCGATATTTAGCCTTAGTGATCTAAATGAGAATCGAAGATCTCGTTGTTAGTATCAAAGCGATAAAAAGTTAGGCGAGAACGGACGTCAAACGAAGAAGCTATGAATTTATAACGAAAATTTCTGTCCCGGCCTATTAAAAATAAATAATAAAAATAAATTCAAAATTATCCGACAGAGTCTAAACGAAAGTTGTAGAGCGCAGTCTCACCTTTCCGTGGATATAAAGAACGTCGAAAACGGAGTTCGTATGAAGAAGATATGAATTTCTGAATTTTATTACTTAATTTGTATTTATTTTTAATTGAAAATTCGGAAGCATTATCCGAAGACGAGTCACAGCTCTGATCCGAGGTACGCGCCGTGTACTCGAGTATGCCCCGCGTACAGCCAAAGTGTCGACACTTCGGATGACGCATGCAGTGACGCAATTCGGAGGCAGTACGCGCTGCGTACTGCTATACGCCCTGCGTACGAGGGGGTTCCAACCTCCTATAAATAGGATGCGAGGGCAGCTAGCCAATTTGCTAATTTCCTCTCGTTTTCGTGCCGAAGCTCTGCGGTTTTACCCCCGAAGCCATCCTGAAGCCCCGGTAATATTCCCGAGTCCTGAAGCGAGTCCCGAGATCCCGAGGATCCCGAGAAGTGCGGTTTCTGAGCCGAAGCTTTGCCCGTGAGAAGTTCGATTTTCGTAGAGATCTTCCAAATCTGCGGAGGATTATGACTTCTGCAAGTCGTAGTGCTGTCCGATTATCTTCTGATCAAGTGAGTGTATACTACCTTTCATAAACGCAATAATAATACAACTACGGTTTGAGTGTATTAAGTTTATCGTCGTTTATACGTGTGAAGGCGTTGTTACTTTCTCCTAACGTATAACTATAAAGTATTTTATACGAGATACGTGTTATGTGTATATTTTGTTGTTATATGTGTGAATGTATATTCACCTTCTTCTATCTTACAGATATGATATATCTATATGAAATACGAGTTATGTTGGTGTGCCTCATCTGTTATATGGAAAATGTATTGATCAAGCATGCTATACAGGTTTTGAAAATATGTATAAAAATGTATGTTTTTTATCTACTAATATGTTGGGTAGAACATGGGTAGATAGTTGGTGTGTAATAAACAGATGAGAGGCCTCGTTGTTGTTTGATCCAGTCATCTAGCGGAATTTAGATGACGACCACGGACTTTTTTAGATAGTCCAGTGGAACGCTAGCAGGCTCATAACCTGTAGGTGTTAATGAACTTGGGTGTTCATTCGCTGTATTCCATCCCCCTCATGGTTGCCTTATTTGACTTATATTGCTGAGGAAACCCCGCAGCATGTGTTGTCACCCCGATGAAAATATTCTTAGATTAGGTCCCTTGTGTTAGTTATTTTAGGACGTAAAGTGAGAATAACGGGAATGGGTAACTGGGTTATTGTTGGTTGATAATAATTAATTTAATTATTTATTGTGGGTTGAAAACCCTATATGCTCACTAGGCTCCCAAGCCTGACCCACTCAGTTTTATTTGTATTACAGGAAGTAGCGCAAGGGCGTAAGATGGATGAACCATCAAGTTGTTTTGTTTGCAAGTCTACATATGTTTTATTTGTTATATGACTTGTAATGTATTCGTTTATGCTTATTGGTCTGTATCGGAACATGACACCCCGAGTTTTGATTATAATGAAAATACATTTCTTTTATGAAATGCTTTGGTAAACATTGTTTTATCATGTTTTGTTTTTGGGAACAAATTCCGCAACTCTTTCAAATCAAAAGGATTTACTCTGAATTTATTTTAAAAGCATAAATAAAAATCGATCTTTTCTGGCCGAGATTTTGGGGATGTCACAGTTGGTATCAG